CGAAAGAGAGGAAGGAAGGGATAGCAGGAAGCTGTTTTGGATGCATTTTCTTTCTTTCCCTGTGTACGTAACCATTACGTGACTGGGGAAATCCGTATTCTAAGCGTACCAGTGCATGAATTCAGTATTTCCATGCTCTGATTTCTCTGTGCTGTGTTTTGATTTCAGCTAAGCGTGTACACTACCACACGGTCAAACATTGGTGCTGAGAGCGATATAGATCTGGTTTTGAACGTGGATGATTTTGATATTGAGTCCAAATTTGAAAGGTAGGTATCCAAACTACGAGATCTTTGTTTAATTCTGAAGTATGTGTTCTAACTGGTGGTTAGAATACATATTAGGTGTGCATAAAGCAAGGTAGACTGTTGAATGAGTAGAGTTGTTCTTGCATTTTTGGGGGGGAGGAGGAGTAAAAGCTATTTTTGCATTCTGTACATGCTATTCGGTTCCTGCTATGTTTCATAAAGTAATACCCATATTTGCCATGTTAAGGCAGGAAAGATGTTAGCTGGATTTCAGCCTTAAAGTTGAGGACGAAGTGGTGCTGTTAATAAAACCAGTATTTTTCCCTTTAATTAAAGGTTCTTAGAATTTTTAATGCCTTAAGTGTTGGTAGAGTGATGGAAACGATGTGCGAAGTTCACCTGGCACTGAGGGATAGGCCCTTAAACAAATTTTTCTCACACTGAAATCATCTTGTAATTGCAAGAAAGCGAGCTTGCAAGCCAAAGCTATACTGGTAAATACAGAAATGCTTGTTTCTGTCCTGTAGATTTTACAAATCCTGTGTCATCTATCTTAATTTTCAGATTCCACTCTAAACATCCATCTCACTAGCTGTGCTAGGTCAGTAATGCACGTGTGATGTGCTGAACTTAAAAGTGTTGGTTCGTGTGGAGCCGTGTGCTGTTTCAGCCAGAGACACAAATGTTTTACAAAAATGTGCTTTGCTTATTATAGTAAAAATGACTTTCCATTGTGAAAATCTAAGTCAAAGGGCCTGGAACCTGGAAATGCTTTAGACTTTCCTCTAATAACAAGTGTAGCCAGTCTGCTACTTGCACGCTGTTTGTTCTTGGTAGCTGTGGCTTCAGACCTGAAATAGAGCTTGGAAGTCAGTGTTCTCTTTTCCTATGTTTCAGCAACATGCTTTTCTGTAGCTGTTTCAGTGCTGATAACCATAGAAGTAAACCTTTGTTTTCTGGTAGGTTTGGGTTTCGAGATCTTCTGAAAGGGATGTTGGTGCTGAGATGGAATAAGATTGTGCCCTTACACAGGTTTCTGAGTATAACACTGCCTCTATACAGTTAAAATGATTAGAACTACTTAGTTCGTGCTTCTTATTTGCTGCCTCACTTTTGGTTTGGTTTCTTGTTTTGTTTAAAATAGTTGCCTTGTTCTTGACTCTCTTGTTACAGAGTCTCTCTCCCAGGTTCTTTCACATTCTGCGCTTTCTATAATTGAAGAACATGATCTGCAGTCTAGGTCATATTAAACTTGGTCAGACTTGAAAATACAAAACCTGTTATACTGAGGTAGTCTCCTAAGCCACTGAAAGTACTGAGAGTAAAACAAGCCCAGCAAATTCACAGGAATAGGGGAGGCAATACGCAAGGTTGCAAATAGAGTGACGTCTTGGCTAACTCAAGGGTTAGCGAAGACTTCATGGTTTGGGGCTCCAATCTAGAGTTCTGCGCTTGGCATGCCATAGCTGAGAAGATATTAATGCAAAGTGTTTGGCAAAACTTAGTGATTTTCTTTTTAAACTTTGTATCATGTATACGATCTGTGACACACAGACACATGGAAGGCTGTTTTCTACAAGTGCTGTGGTAATTTTGGCCCTATGACCTACTGGCAGGGGAAAACAACAAAAAGAACTGGTGATACAGTTCTGCGTTGTTAGGGTAATGAAAGTATGAATTGGACAAAGATTACACTATCTGAAGATAATAGTATAACTTTGGAAATGCAAATATTGATACATACTGGAGTATATAAATTGATATCATTCAGCCATGGCTCATCATGACATATTAGCCCTAATTGTTCTGTGCCAGGCAAGCCAAATGTCTTCCTTTTTCTTGTATGTTCTCAACCAATTTTTGCTTGCCTCTGGAACATCGTCAGTGATCCTTACATGTAACAGATAAATATTTCAGTATATGCTATGTCATCTCATAACATATTTATTTTGTGTTTTAGGACAGTGAATGTCTCTGTACCAAAGAAAACCCGAAATAATGGCACATTATATGCATATATATTTCTTCATCATGCTGGCATTTTGCCTTGGCATGATGGTAAGCAGGTGCATATAGTAAGCCCTCTGACCACATATATGGTCCCTAAACCAGAAGAGATTAATTTGCTCACTGGAGAATCAGCCACACAGGTAGGTGTTTTTTTCCCGTCTATAGATGAACAACTGCAAAAGAGAATTGCGTATATAGACACTTCTAGCATAAGCATTTGCTGTGCTTGCATCTTCACAGCAATAAGGATATTAGGAAAAAAACCCATACTCCTCTTCTTGGTTATCAGCTTGTATGCAAACAGTGAAGCACTCAGCACAATAGAGGTGAAGCCCTCTATGACATTGGCTGCTATTAAACACTTTGCTAGTTAACATTAATTACTTCTTTAGTAATTCATTGCTTTCTGTAGAAATACTGTATCATTCTATAACAGTGAGATGCTGCTTTTTATAGTGAACTGGATTCATGTGAAATAATAGGCTTTGCTTTTATAAAACAGAGATATGAACTTGAGTTTGATATTGATGAGTGACCATTGTCAAAGTGCTGCTTTTTCCTTAGGATGTTCTTACTTTTCAAGTGAACAAGAAAGTATCCGTTGGCAAATGCTATGATTACTCGTTGAGGAGGGGGGAAATGTAGTCTTATTTAATTAAATACTTGTGAATGGCTTTTGTGTCTCATATTAAATGGAGCTTGAGAATTTCACTCTGTTCTTCTTTGGAATCAGAAATACACCTTTAGCCAGGAGTGGCGTTTCTGAACCCTGTCAGAATAAAGTTTAAAATTAGCTGAGGCTACAGAACAACACTAAACACTGTCAGAACAGTTGGTGTTCATCCAAAGAAAAGCAAGCAGAATGCCTTGGGGATAAGCATCTCCTGAAAGCTAGAGCCATACTTAGTTTCAGCACTTGCCTTTGGAAGCTCAGAAGTTCAGAACAAGTGGTCTGATACTCTTACCTCCCAAAATTATTATGCCTGATTATTCATGTCATTTTGCCTCTTTTAAAGTAACGTCTAATTACCCTACAGTCCTTCTTCCAAAGTGACTTTCTCTGAGTAATGTCCACATTCGTGAGGTATTAATCAGCTGAATATTCATTGTTGATGAACAAGGCTATGAATGAGCACTAGAAGATTTTCAGTGTTAGATTGTGGTGGGCCTTTACAACCCATTCTGCTGTATTTGAGCAAAATACTTGATCTGGTCAAAATTAAGGTGAAGTGTTTCATAGTGGGGTTTCTATTTTATGATATAGTTAATGACTCCACAATTTCTGTGAGCTGCAGTATAATCCTGTTCTAATTTTTGCATTGCTTAGCAGTATGTATGTTTATTCTATTTTTAAAGCAAATTGAAGCAGAAAAACAGACCAACGCTCTAGATGAACCTGTCTCTCACTGGAGGTCAAGATTAACCTTAAACGTCATGGCAGAAGATTTTGTGTTTGATGGATCATCCCTCCCTGCTGATGTTCACCGTTACATGAAGATGTAAGTGTATGACTTCATTGCTAGGTTTGTTATTGTAAACATACTGCATATTTCTTAAAAAATCCTCTCTGGCCTCTCTTAGTAGCAAATTTGCGTTTAAACTGGCACTTGGGAGACAAGAACAGGTACTCTTAATGCTTGCATTTCAGTAGTGACAATTAGTAATGTATTATGGACTAGAAAACCTTATTGGAGGTATCTTGTTGCTGGGCAGCTTAGAGATCAAAATACAACTACAAAGACACAAGTAAAATGTAAACAAGTAAAACAGCAGACTTTGTACCCCCTTGTTCTCAAATCACACTTCTGGCCTTTAAAGCATTTACTGTTCCCTTGGTCTTTCTAGCTATCCTTCACCTGCAAAGTAACTCTGCAAACTGCAAGTGCTGAAGAGGCACAGCTGATCTCCTGTGACATCTTTCTTCTCCCTTTATGATTGGCTTTATTTTACTTTGACAGTATGTGTTCCTACGTTATGCTATCTTCTCAAGAAAATACTAAAAAGCAAGGCTAGGTTTTTAGGTCACTAAATGCAGGCAGTAGCTTCTGTTCACAGCTTGCTTAAATTGCTTCCAGTGTTAACCATATAAATAGTGCTGTGTTGGCTTGTGCTGCTGAATGTTGATGCCTTTCTCTACAAGTATCCTGTTAAATCCAGAAGTAGTTGCTTAGTCAGCAGATCCTGGGGTTCCCAGACAGAATAGATAAACCTAGTAACTCATAAGATAGGCCCATAACAAGAACAGGTTGAGCTGGGGTTAATGAACAAGGGTATTTTTTTCTGGTCATGTTTGTATAGGCATCAGTGCTGTTTTGTCATTGCATTATACTGGAAATAGTTTGGATATGAAATAGCCTGCTGCAATTCCACTAGCAGTAGCTTCAATTGTAGTTATTATACAGAAATCTAAACCTCTTCAGTTAACTAACTAAGCAGTATTTCTGAGCCTTGATGTAGTACTTTTCTATATTGTTGTTGCCCATTGTATATTTAGTATCCAGCCTTTTACCATGCACTGAGATTTCTTTCTTTTGTCAACAACTAAAATTCAACTTTCAGGCTTTAAAAAGCTCCATTATGCCAGTTCCACAGACTTCTAGTGAGAACATCCCAGAGTAGATAACTGCCTTTCTAGTGGAGAACTTTAAGAATTAGTTTCTCTGGGGGCATTAGGCTACATACTTTTCTTAGATACTGACAAAGCAATTGCATATAGGTCATCATTTGCTAAATAACTTTCCAGGGGTCAATTTTGTAGAGGAACCAAGGGCTGTGAAGTTGCTATCATTATCATGCAGGTTGGTGAGGTGACAGAGCAATCCAAAGAAGAGTTCTGTCGAGAAGGCAGAGATTTCTGCTCCTTGTGCAGCAGTAGTATCTAGCACTCCTGCGTGTGTGCCAGCTATCGAGTTCCTAGTCCCATGCTAGCAAGAGCACATGCTGTTGCTGACCTGATGGATGTTATTGGGGGTGCACAGGCGCCTGGGAGATGGGGAGGAATTGTCATCGTTGCAGTAGGAGAAGGATACTTGAGACAAAGGATACAAATATATGGTAGTAACCTTCAGCACATTTCTCTTCAACAAGTTTTTTAATTTCCTTTACTCTTGGTCATGCAACAGCTTCAGCATCATCACAACCGATTTCATTTGTCTTTTTTTTTTTTGCTTATTCTGTCTTTCTACAGAAGTGTAAAAGCAAACTTCTTGTAAAAGCAGAAATATGACCTGCCTAACTTTTTTAGTACAGACATCTCTCAATGAAAGACTCCAGGCTAGTGGCTTCTTTGTTGCTGGGTGTTAAAAGAAACCGACCCTGAAAAGATGGTGGGAAATGTCTACATGGGTAGATCTGAAAGTAATGAATGAGTGCTAATTTGAATAAAAGTAGTTTTCTTTTTAGATCACTACAGTCATAAAATCCATGTTTAAACATCCTAGGGTTCAGTTGGGGAAGACAGTGCATTACCTTCCAATATTATTTATTGATCAGCTAAGCAACAGAGTGAAAGATTTGATGGTGAGTAATAGAATACCTTTAATTACATTTAACAGTCCTAACAGTAATATTCAATGTTGTTTTAATTAAGATTTTGTCATAGGTTTTTTGCAATAATGAAAAAGTATAAATTCACAAAGTTCTCTGTAAATGACTGTTTAAGTTAATATGGTCAACTGGTAACTACAGAGGCTGGATCTGGGTTTTGAGACTCCCCTCTGGCAGAAGTGCCTGCCAAGCACTCCCTTCTATTCCACCAAAAGATACTTAGATTCCATTGCTTCTGCCTTTTGGGTGAATATGGAGGACATCACTGCAGCACCGGCTGTAGTGGGGGCAGTCTTATGAGCAATTTGACTCCCTGAGCTGAAGAAGTTGTGTCAGCATCCCAGAGTGGCTTCTGGTATCTTCTGAGCTTACTGAACACAGCTTATGCTGGTACTACACTGGGATAAGTCAGTACTATTCTCTTATCTCCAAAAAAGTCATTTGTAGTTAAATTTTCTGTGGTGGTCTCTTATCATGTTAGAGTAACCTGAGCACCTGAAGGCTTGCTGTTGCAGTACAACCAGTGATTTTGTGTACCCAAACAAATCAGGACTTAGCAACTTCAATAATGGAGTCACAGGAGGATGATGTGGATGAGATTTCTGGAGGCTGCTAGTCCAGTGCCCCATCTCAGGGTAGGGTCATCTGGAGCAGGCTGTTCAGCACCGTCTTCAGTTGGGTTTTGGATATATATCCGAGGATGGAGATGCCATAGCCTCTCTGGGCAACCTGGTTTAGATTTCAGTCACCCCTGCAGTTAAAAAAAAAAAAAAGTGTATTTTATACATTTAAATAGAGTTTTCTGTATTCAGGTTTTTTCCAACTCTTCTCTTGTGGGAAATCATGCAGTTCCTTTACTACAAGTTACACATGGCAGTCCCCTGCGTCTAAATCATGGTCATCTTAGCAGTTCTTAGTTAAGCCCTGCAGTTCTCAGTTGCACTGACTGGAATTTAGCAGAATTTCTGAGAACAGAAGTCTTGGGGAATGTCTCAAAACTGTTAAATGAGTATGTCTAGATTCAGTGTCTTCTAGATGGGAGCCTTGGTAGATGTAAACTTTCTGTAGACCTTCTAAATTGACTTTCCAATTTATTAACTTCAGCTCAGACAAAAGAATTTGTTACTTAGTGTTAGGGATTGGGGAGAATCTTCTTTAAGAACTTGTATCCTCTCCACCCCAAGGTTGTTTGGCAAAATAAACTCCAGAGCATTTGTTACAAATCTTTGTAGCAGATATTTTTGTCCAGTATTCCTTTAGATATGCTTTTGTGATGTTTTTATCAATGGTCATTGTCCTTTGTTTTAAGTTTTTTACCACAGCTCATTCAGTTCAGTACATTCATATGAGCTTCTAACTGGGCATGTACCCTCTTTACAAATAAACTCTGCATTCTCATGTTATTAGTAACATCCCTGCAGATGTCATGCATGCCATGGTTAATGCTATTGTAACTCACTGCCTTAAAGTTGTTACAGATCCTGAGAAGTGCTGCAGAGACTGTTCCATCAATGCTAGCAAATTTATGCTTCAGCACTGGCTTATGTGACTACTCAGTAGTGACCTCCCAAACTGCTCTCAAGCCCTACAGAAAGAGGGGTCTAATAGTATGGATATTGGTGAGATAGCGAGGGGTAAGTGAAGAGCAGGAAAGAATAAGGGAGGATGATAGAGCATTTATGGAGCAAGGTCAGCATTTGACTGTAAGTCAGAGCATGAACTCTGTTTGGTATGCCCGACCTACAGTCATGGAGCTGAAGATGCATTTTCCCTGCTTGTGCTAGACTGTGTATGTTTTGAAGTGGCTGTTGCTTTGACAAAGGTGTAGGTCTTCTGTGGTAAATACTGTAGTATAGAGGTGGTGTGTTCCTCATGTTCTTAGTTGTTCTTGCCAGTGCTGGGGGTATGGGGATTGTACATGCTTCTGATGTAAGAAAAAGAAAACTTTAAAATTCATACCACTGAACTTTCTTTGTTTACACACTGTTTTGTAGTACTGATAGAGTGCTAGAAGTAATATGTGGTGTTCTGAGGCCATACTTCAAGACTAGGTTGTATTGTAGAGGTTTGGCAACTTCCTGGTTTTCAAAGGCTTTGCAACCATTACACTCAACTAAGTTGTGAGATAGACTTGTGGACTTTTAATTGTTCACTGAGAAGGACTTTGTTCTTCTAATCTTCCTATCTTCATTTAATTTGATTTTTGTGTTGCAGAATTCCTATCTCCGTCTTGTATTAAAATCTCATTTTCTGCCTACGCTACCCCTAACTCCTTAGTAGTGTTTTGTCTGTATAGAGAGCACTTGCTACTTACCCATGCATTTGCAAAATTTTTGTTTCCTGTCTGTTCTGCAGAGATGAAATGTATTTTCTTTCTCTCTCAGAAACGGTGCTGCTATCTTTGATAGGCTGAGAAATTGGACTGAGAATGGATGGATTACAGGCATCCTTTAAAAAGGAGAAGTCTGGAAGCTGTTTATATAGCTTTTGGTAAACAACTGTAGAATCTTGCCAGCATTCTCTGTCCTCATTTCTAACCTTGCTGGTTTCACCCTGGTTTGTTTGTTTGTTTGTTTTGCCTTTTTTCCAAAGTTCAGTGATCCCTGGCACCATTCTAGTTTCTCCAGCTTTCTTCCTGCTGTATTTATAAAACTTTCTCAGCTTCCCTTTTTCTCCCTTGCATGTGTACATATTCTGGCACTGTCTGAAAAGCTCTTGGGATCTTAAGAGAGTGATGAGGTTGAGAATTGTTTGTACTTACTTAAGAAAAGCGTGAATGGGAGGGTGAACGCAACCCCCAGTTCACACCTGACTGATACACAGAGAGGCTAAAATTGTGTTCCGTAACATAAAAATCAGAAGCAGCCCATTCGTCTCAGATAGGTGTAATCAGCTAAGTAATTACTGTAGAAACAGGTCCGGTGTAGAGTAGCAGTTCTGAGGTAGGAATTATGATTGGGTAGTAGTCAGGAGCTGGCAGCAATAGATGCTGAAGTGTTGCAAAGAGTGCCTGCCTGCCTTCAGCTGTCCTTGCAAGTTTAGAACATGCTGCCTGAGCTTGTACCTAGGTAGTTGCAGAGAATTCTAACATCTGTGAGGACAATTCTCTTTTGCTTGCTTTAAACCTATTTAAGAGACAGTCAACTATCACGCAGCAGGAGCTGAGGCAAGTTAAGATTTCCCCCCCAGCTTAAGGGGACGCCAGGTAGTTCTCATCATCACTAAAGTGTAGACGATACAGTAGAATTCGGTGAGTTTTATTTCTCTTAGAGCAGGAAGGAAGATTTCTGTGGCACACCATATCCACAAGTTCATAAGCAGGGTAGCTTGCTTAGCTTAAGCTGTGGTGTTTTCACCAATCCGAGCAAGTAGCATCATCTTGCTTCCCCACCTTTTGTTTTGAACTGAATTGTAACTTCAATTTCTCTCGAAACCAGCCTAAATTTAGTTAAGTTCCAACTGTGGCCTTTGGGATGTGATTTTTCTTTTTTTAATCTTCTATCTTAGGTAATCTTAGCTTACATATTCAGAGAAGAACTGTCAAAAGAGAGAATTTCTTTGAGCACACTTTTCCCACTTGAGCAGAGGTAATGTTATTTAAACATCTCAGAGGCATTTCTATACAGTAACAGTGAGGTTGTTATAAGAACTTGAACAGAATAAACAGCTAATTTACCGTTTCTGGGGGAAAAAAACCAACCTGAAGTCTTCAAGCATAGTATAGAAGTCTAAGATCTTACTCCCTTTCAGAAACCAAAGTGACATCTTAAAATTGTGTAATTAAATCCGTGTGATATAATCACTTTGCAACAAGGAATGGAAATAATTGTTGCCATTTTTCTTTGTTAAAAATGAAACTATATCTTTTGAAATCCAGGTTATAAATCGTTCAACAACAGAGCTACCTCTTACAGTGTCATATGATAAAATATCTCTTGGAAAACTCCGATTTTGGATCCACATGCAGGATGCTGTGTACTCCCTCCAACAATTTGGTATGTTTTTTATCTTTAATGAGTTTAGGCAAAAAAAAACAAACGACCCAACCAACCCCTCAATAGTTTTCTTTTAAGTACATACATGACACTTAACTTCCTTCTGGTTAGCTGATGAAAAGGTTTAATGCAACAAGTCTTAGGTTGTTCTTCCTGAAGGTAAAGATGCAAATAAAATGTTGACATGTGGTGGGAAATACAGAGGTGAAATAACAATTTTAAAACTAAATTTTATGTGGGTAGTACTGCTGTAAAAGCATCAAAGACAAAAATAGAGGAGAGAGTTTTCACCATGGGTTTCCCCTGTCATCCGTGGAACAGAAAAGCTGGATTGGTGTTACATACGCTTTGCTATAAGCTATAAACAGCTGGTCACTGTAGATATACACCTTCAGTGAAATACAGGTAGCCACAGTAAAGTCTGAGGACTCAAGGTTAGCATGAAGAAGGAATCTTGGTTCTGATCATAACTGAATCTGACGTTTCAGAAGTGGCTGGCCTCTCACTTTGGCTCAGTTACAAATTTATAAAGTAATTCAGATAAACTGGAGGCTTCACATGCATGAAACTATTAAATTCTATGTTTCGCTTAAATGCAGTGGAGCAAGTGTACACTTTTACATTGAACTTAATATGCTCTATGTTGGTGATGGTATAGCCAAGCTTTTACTGTCTTTAAATGTCTGTTCCACTGTTCCTGTGAGTCTAATCATCATCCTTAAAAATCTGCATCTTATTTTCAGGGTTATCTTTGATGACTTAGCTTTCTCTCACTAGACTGTAGTTGGCTTCTTTATGCCAGAGGAAGGAACTATATTGTATCTGAACTGGTGTTGATGTATACGAATATGCGATCTTTCCAATCCTCTCATTCTAAGCTATTCAGACAGTAATTGAACTTCTTTTCAGGCCAAGAGATCTTAAAAGCTGCTGTGCTGTATTATTTTAATGATTCTTAAATCCTTAAAATTCTTAAAACATGTTAAAGGCGCATCAATCTACTTGTAACTGATAGGTTTTGCTTAAGGCAGGCCAAATAATTCACCAAGATATAGATAGACTTAGGTTTTATCAATAAAGCTGCCATCATGTTTTAGATTTATATTTCCTTAACAAAACATAGGCAGGTGACATAGGATTTCTTTCATACTTGACTCTAGCATAACAGCATTTAACTGTCTGGTACTTCTTCTATAATTATTTGGTGTTTTTTTCTCTTAGGATTTTCAGAAAAGGATGCAGATGAAGTAAAAGGAATTTTTGTTGATACTAACCTGTACTTTCTGGCTTTGACATTCTTCGTAGCAGCATTCCATGTAAGTGGAGAAACTTTGGTTATTAGAAATTACAACTGTTCTAGGAAATAGTAATTTCAGTAGAGTAATGGAAGTGTCTTCTGGTGTAAGTCAGCTGTATTTCCAGTACAGAATTAATACAGAAATCTCCAGGAAGACAGAAATTTGAAATAACTAGATAGAAACTTACAATCTTGACTGAAATATAAAACATTTAACTCTTTCTTAGTTATAGTTGAACCAAAGCCCCTCAAATTAATATACCTGTCAACATAGGTTCAAACTTCATTCCATTATCCAAGGTTTACTACTGCAGTGGCATAGCTGGGGCACCAACAGCAGGGGTTGAGTCTGATTTCTAATCCCTGGAGAAATTTAGATCAGCACAGTGCAGTACTAGTAGTGGCAGTATTTGGAATTCATCCTGTCATTTTGCACTGCTTTTAGAGGTTGGGCTTCTAAAACAGTTTTTCCATTTAGCTTTTATTTATTATGCTGAATTTTTTTATTTCTGAAGCTTCTAAACCTTTTTTCAATGGTTTTTCTTGAATTCCATCTTAAATGCATTTTTAACAGTTCAGCTGTCAGTCTCTAGTAAGTGCATATTTCAAGCAAATGAGTATGTTTCTTGCTATTTGCAGCTTCTCTTTGATTTCCTTGCATTCAAAAATGATATCAGCTTTTGGAAGAAAAAGAGGAGCATGATTGGGATGTCTACAAAAGCAGGTATGGGCTAGAATGTGAAATCATGTGCTGTGTAATACGTACTTTGTGTTTTAAGTCTTGCTTTAAGTTGACACTTTGCAGGTTCACCAAGATGGTAAAATAAGATGGTTTTGTGTATGAAAACAGGCTGGTTCTAACTTTGTTAACATTGTGTTAACGTGTGTAATACGTACTTTGTGTTTTAAGTCTTGCTTTAAGTTGACACTTTGCAGGTTCACCAAGATGGTAAAATAAGATGGTTTTGTGTATGAAAACAGGCTGGTTCTAACTTTGTTAACATTGTGGTCAAGTATGACTTCCTCTTAGGTGCTTATGTCACTTCCAAGGTTTGACTGTCTTGCAGTTGAGAATTAGTTTAATATTAGGTCAGTTGCCATATTTCCCTTGTTGAAGGAACAGAAAAATACTTTGAGAAAAGAATGAGGACTAGAAAAAGTCCTGTGAGTGGAGAGAATGTGCTATCATGGGTAATGCTGTCCTGCAAATCCCATGTAGATAACTACAGGTTCTAGAATATTTGGGGGAGGGAAAATGCTGTAGCATAACACTGTTGTTTGATTTGGGCTTTTACATAAGTAGGAGCAGAAGGTCCTCAGGTGGAAGAGCATGGGAGGGTTGAGCTGACTTGGATGTAGGAAAGATGAGAGAAACATAGTAGTCTGATACTCTGCCAAGCCTTCCTAGGGACAGGTGAAGGTAGTAGCCAGCCTTGGGCACTGGAGGTTTAACATGCCACTTCCCAGCCTTCTTTATTGTACTGGTACTGCGTGTTTTTCTAACAGATTTTTCCATTCTGATTATAAACCAGAATCATAAACCAGAAGTCTTTTGACCTCTGAGTCTATCCCTACTTCTGCCAGATTTAGACTGATTGAAACATGTGAGGAATATCAATACCAGGAAAAAAATTTGGCATTCTAAATTGTGATGAACAGCAACATGGTTTTCTCATGTGGAGGATCTGCTTATCATCTTTATCACAGTGCATTTGTTTTTGAAAGGCATTTGTATTGCTGTTGGCGTATGTTAGTAAAAATACAAAGCAAAAAGTGAGTAAAGTCAAATTGGAGACTGAGTGACAAAGGGCTTTTTTAACCTTACTATCAAGAGATCAATCTTTGGTCTCCAGTAATTGATGATTCCTTCCTCTCTTTAGCAAGCCTTTGTCACCTTTCTGCCTGTGTCTTTTTCTTGCCCTGAGGGAGAAGTGTCACAGGCTATTGCTCCAGAATGGTACAGTGTAATTGTTGATGTCTGAGTGTCTTGTAGATCTTCTTTTTTTCTGTCCTTGCTCTGGGAGATGGATATTTGAATCTAAGAATTAGTTGGTAGACACTTAAAAGTATGCAAGGTTTTGCAAAACCTGAAAAATAACCTATATACTTCTTACATACATATACTTCTTAACATTTACAAGCATTGTTAGTTGCATGAGTTTCAAAGGCTGACATTTTATTACCTCACAGCCTTCCAGCTCCTTGAGACAAGATTCATGAACGTAGTTCATAATAGTACTGATACATTGCTGAATTGCTGCAGTACAGAAGTTTCCTTAAATATTCCCATTTCCTTTCATCTTTTGTGATAAAGATTTCAAAAAATACCTTTGTTCTTTATTTGGCTGGAGTTATATAGATCACTGGCTGTTTCTAGGACTACTTGATATATCAAGATATATATAAGTTTATGCTTAAACTGTGCAAGGTGGATTTGTAGTAAATAGGCCAACAAAATTCTGTTATCTCATCTGTTCATTTAAATATTAATAAGCCTTTAATTTTCATTATTTCCCTCTAGTACTTTGGCGGTGCTTTAGTACTGTGGTAATATTTCTCTTCCTTTTGGATGAACAAACAAGTTTATTGGTACTGATCCCAGCAGGCATTGGTGCAGTGATTGAGGTGAGTTCTTAAAGCTGTAGAACTAAATACCAGTATTTGCAGCAACTTCCATAAGAATGCTAAACTATCTACTGGAAATATACTGCTGTAGTATGCTGTCTTTGCAGCGTTGTTTAACTGGCTTTCAGTGGTGAAGGAGATTGTATCCCTTTATAACTAAACTGGAAGTATCATTTTTCTCTGGGACGATCAGGTGGTATTGTGGAAACAAAACATACAGCTATGCTGAGGTTCCTTCCTACCATATTATCTCATAGGCATCTTGACCGGGCATGTATAACCATGTCTAGAAGCCTTCATGGAAACATTTGTCAAAGAGCAGGCTGTGTGCCATTGAGCAGGCTGTGTGCCGTCAGGCACTGCTGCAGGTCTGCAGTGTTCTCCCCAGCTGTGACTGAGGTGCTCGGAGATGTAGGAGACTGCTGGCTGTGTTCATTATTCCAGAAGAACAGGTTCAGTCAGTGGGCTGCAGGTACTGCTTAGAAGCCTGCTTTATGTGCAGTAAAGCACCAAGTCAGCAGTAGTAGGATGGGGAGATCTCTCTACCTAGCAGTGTTTGTAGATCTACTTCTCTGTATTTAAAATAAGTTCAGGGCTCTCACATGGAATTTTCAAGTACACATCTGTTATAGTTGCAGTTAATCCCTGAGGAAACAAAACAGCTCAGAATTTGTAGTTAGTAATTAAATTGTTGAATGCAAAGTCACAAAGTGATCCTTAAGTTTCAGTTTATTGTACAAGAGAGATGAAGCTCTTGTGAAAACTGTGAACAGCAGTGTCCTAAATAGTACCATTTCATTGACTGTAACATTATTTTTCAGTAGATTGAGATTTTTAAATGTGATGAGATTCAGATCTCATTTGGTGGTTATGCCTGTCTGAGATGGTTTTTCAAGCTGCCAAAAGATCCGTTAAACAGATCTCTCTGAGATCCATGGTTCCTATGACTGTTTGGCTCCTATCATCTTTCTCATGCACCTTATTTTCCAGTATGTTGCTTTGGATTGCAGGCTGGGGGAACTGGGTTGAAAGGATTATATAGGAACACTGTGTGGGACACTTAAACTGAAGGGAAGTGTTCTGTAGGTTCTGTTGAAGTAACATTCTCTCCTCTCGAGTGATGGTGAGATAACATGGTTGTCTCAAGGTAAGAATGAACATATGGACCATACATCTCAAAGGGATTTGTCTACTGCAAAGAGCTTTTTCACAGCTTGTTCTTAAGTCCTGTTTCTCATGTAGTACTAATAGTGATACTGCTTCTGTAATAAGTAATTTTTTCACTTGCATCAAAGATGACAGTAAAGGATCATCTTTACCATATTCCCTTTTTGGTTTGGAATATATGTTGAGTGAGAAGAGAATATTGGTGTATCTAAAGTTAAACAAACCTTGCCCACAAAAAGCTTCAGAGAGCATAGCTCTCCTGGTGAGCTTGCTGCATTGAACCTGTATAGATGTGGGTGGGTACAGAACGTACCCTTCGGCTACATTAGGGTCAAGCTGTTACAGCTGTACAGTAAGTAGCCAGACTTACAGTGAATCAGTGGATTCACCGACTTGCTTGTAGCCCACTACTGAAATGTAATGACCCTGTAGGTGCCTGCTTAATCACTGTTGAGAGTTCTGGGACACCTTCATCTTGCAGACCCCAGCTGACCTCAGAGGTACATGAAAACTTGCTTGGCAGGTGGTTACTGGAGAGTGCCTGATGTGGGGTGTATGCTGGTACTGAGAGCAGCAATCCCCACAAAAGCACTGCAATCCAAGTATCCTGGAAGGACCACATTGTTGCACTTGAAGTGCATCCTTTGAGTCTTAATAGTGCAGGCTCCCAGTGTTGTACTTACCTGGTGACACAGCATTTGGTTTGAAGAGACACAGGCAGTGTACTGCAATCAGGCTGTTGCTGCTTTATGCAATGGATGCTTAAAGTAGATGTTCTGGGGTCTTGATTCTGATGTTTAAATCCTGCATAAGACATTCCTTTGGATAATTTTTTATGTGCACATTTTGTTTTTGCTAATCACAGCTCTGGAAAGTGAAGAAGGCTTTGAAAATGACAATCAAGTGGCAAGGCTTGAGACCCAGAATTCAGGTATAGTAGACATTGGCGTGTTCGTTATTACATTCTTGAGTTGTCCATCTCTTTCCAGATTAATGTGCAACTTGGCTTTTAGTGAAATGAAGATGAAAAAAAAAAAACAAACCTAAAAGGTTTCCTATATGTATCTTCTCTTTATAGATAGCTTAATCCAAAGGCTAGATAAGCATTTTCAAACTTACAAATTTGTTTGAGTTCTGTAGGAGAAAAAGCTGTATGTATGTATTTAAGGTGTGAGAAACTTCAGAACCTCTCTGCCAGTTCTTTTAGATATTAACAGGTGGGTGGGAGTGTGCTCCTGCCACTGTGTTGGAAAAGCATTCTTAACTGGCATTGGGATTTGACATAAGACACTGAATTTCGCCGAAGCTGCAGGTATAACTTCTCCATTATGGAACTAGTAGATGTGGTGACATATTCTGGGGACTGGACTGTCTTTGATAAATCCTCTGGGCAAGAATTAAGTCCTGAGACTTTGCAGGAGGTGCAGTGGCAGCAGTGATTGAAATGAACTTTTTTTTTTAATATGAGTGTAATCTTTTTAAAGTCAAGTCCACATTGAAAGTTTCTCTTGTTTGTAAGAGACACAGTTGTTGAATCTTCAGTGTTTACGTCGATACATCTTGAGTAGCTGATAGCTCTAGTTGTTCCTTTGTCAGTATTAAAGGAACTTTGTTGAAGCAGTTACAGTTTCTGGAGATGTGGAGATAATCCATAACTGACCTCTTCGTGCATGAAAATGGTTATGGTTTTTAATAACGGCTTCCTATATCTGCCAGATTCTTAGTGACTTGACTTTGCTTTTCCTTTGTGAACTCCGCTCTCACAACATTTTCCTAAGCAAAGAATTCCTGGATGTTTCGTGTGAAGGGAAAAAATCAAACTTTTGCCTACTTTGTGTTTGGCAGGCTGTACAGGACACTTGCATGACTCTTGTGTAGAGGCTTTATAAAAGCTTTGAACTGTTACCTACCTTAATGACCAAGCGGTTTAGTTTGCAGTTTAAATCTGCAGTTTAGATCTCTGTTTGGGGATCGCATAGCAAGTACTTTTTCTTCCAGTTCTGACTTGATTATACTTTTTTTATGTATTGCAGTTTGGTACATACAATGACTCCGAAAAGAAAACTGAGGAGTATGATACCCAGGTAGGAAGGAATCCTGTGACTTCTGATCTATGAAGTCTACATGAGCAGCCTGCAGAATGACTCATTTCACTCTTTTTATTGCTACAAGTGTATTTTCTGTGTTGTCATAGTTGTCAAGTGGATTATCATCATGTGGATGATGAGATAGTGAAGATTCATTCTGATAACTTGTGAAATGAAACAGTGAAAGAGGTTTTTTTGTTAGCTGAATCTGGTTGAAACATTTCTTTGAGAAGCAGAATTGCAAATGACTTATCTGAAGAGAAATATCTTAAAGGGTTACTATTCACAACTTCGAAAATTGGTATCTGTATTCGTTATTTAGACTGGAAGAATGTTCTTATGCTTTCTGATTTCTGAAAGGAGTTGAATATTGGTGGAAACATTGGTGTTAAGTAGAGAGTTACTCTTAGACTCTGATCTTCGTGCTACCTGTTGGTGCCTATGCTCTAAGGTGCTTGCTTACCTGCATTTGGCACAAAATTTTCATCACCTTCTCTGGAATTGGAGGCATACTGGAAATAACAGCAGACATTTAGGAACAGGAAGAGATTTTCACGAGAAAAAAAAAGTGGCTGTCTTTCTGATAATGCCATGAAAAGTCTGCAGTATGTAAAACGTGAACTAACAAACTATTTTGCTTGTCTATTAGGCTATGAAATACTTGTCATATTTGCTCTATCCACTGTGTATTGGAGGCGCAGGTTACTCCTTGCTGAATGTCAAATACAAAAGGTATTGTATATCTATAGTTGATCTTACATAGAATTGAAACACTCCCCATTTTTTTGTATATTAATTAATTGGAGATGATGGGTTATGGACATCAGTTAGTTTGATGCATGGGCCAGGAACCAGAATAAATTGTCAGTCAGAAGAGGAGGAAGAAAGCTACCATTGGTGTTTAGAGAACTGATAAAGTGACAAGACAGATGAGAGGGGTTCAGTGGTTGAACCTGTCCAATAAAGAGACAAGCAAAAACTGTCCCAGAATTACTTGCTCCAACAAGAAGTTCCTCTGTTCTTAAATATGGTAGCTGGGGTGGCGACCAACCAAAAGCATTTTTAAGAAAGGACTGTATTCCTTTAGAGCTATGGACCTACTGCAACATATTGATCCTTTACAAGAGCTGAAGACTCAGTATTTTATGAAAAGGTGAAACTTGTCCACTTTCACTCAAAATAATATCTAGTTCACTTTGTATTGGGGACATGCAAGCAAGTATGCAGCCATGAGACTTGGTTATAGAAAAAATCTGCAAATGTAAGCATGGTGACGGCCATGTAGACATATTTTTGGGTTCTTTTTATAGTCTTTAGGCCCAGAAGGGAAGGGAGGGAAAGCAAAGAATAGCTTAAAATAACATCAGAGAGAACTACTGTTGCTGTACTTGTACTAGAAACTGGGGCAATTCTGGGCTATTAGAAAAATAGTTTCTTTTAAAAAGGTTCTTGTCTTAGAAAGGAGCTAAAAAAACCCCACAGCATTTAAATTCTGCTTTTCTCCAAAATTCTTGAGTTTATTCAGTGCTGCAGAATACTATATGCCAGGGGTCCTCTGAGCTCTAGCTTAAGAGAGTGAAAACAGTTCCTATTGTAGAATTTTTGTCATTTTTAAATCTGTGATAAGACGTGACTGAATAAAAATCTTCACGGTGATTTAAAAATCTTTTAATCTTGCAGGCATTTTCTGGTGCCTTTTTTAGATGCTTGTGGATTAGTGAAGTGCTCCTCCAGCTGCAGTGTTGCTACTAACATGTCACTAACACAGCAGTGCAAAAATTTTAAATTATGTAACCTGAGCATCATAGTTCTCGGCTGTTCTTATAATCACAAGCGGAAGTACAGAATTTGACTGCTATCTGTTACGTTGCTAAGATTATGCTCCACTGAACATCCGTTGAACAACATTTTGATGTAAGGAGGGAAAAATACAGATTCCTTGTAGTAACTTTTAAAGTGTTTACTATAGTAGTTTGCTGTGAAGGGTATTTGTTGTTTGAAATTTGCGAAGTTGTTACAGTGCCATTTTAAGTGTCTCTTTAGTATTTAGAATACAGTGTTATCCTTAAAAGTCTGTCAGGGTTCAGTGTGCAGTTTGGGTGCATGTTGTCGTTTGGGTGCAGAAGTCTTAGAATGTTCTGAAAAAGTATAAAAGCAGGTGATAAATCTCTCCAAACTTCTTGTGTGGTCTGATAAGCATCCTTCACTTAAACTACTTTCTCTGGAGCCTTTCCTAATCAGAGGTAGATGTGAGTTATTTAGTTCTTGCATTAAGTAATTCACAAAATAGCCAATTCTTGGGTAGTCAGCATGCGGTCATGTAGAGGATGTATTACAGGTATATATTTTTGGATGAGGTAACAAAATAACCGTACTGTCTTTGGTTTATAGCTGGTACTCCTGGTTGATTAACAGTTTTGTCAATGGTGAGTCCCTTCTTATGTTGTTTTTGGGGGGTTGGGGTGGGTTGGGTTTTTTTTCCTATTCATATATCTTCAAGTGGAGACTAAGACTCTGAAGTAGAAAATTAACAGCTATCAGCTGGATCAGTATAATACAGAGCAATAACTTGACTGTAGGTTTCAAAATTATCACAGTGGTTGAGAAAGGGAGAAGAATCAACCCAAAGGGAACAAAGGATTAGATTTACCTTCTCTCTTTAGGAAAGTGAGTGTAAATCTCTAGTTGTGAAAGTATAGTTGTGTGATGTACTTCCATTGTGCATTTGTCTCTAAGTTTTCTATATTTTATCTTCAGGAGTGTATGCTTTTGGATTCCTGTTCATGCTGCCCCAGCTGTTTGTAAACTACAAGGTAAGGTTGAAAAATGATAAAGACTACTTTTCTTGTCTCTTCTTACAGCCTTTATTACAACCTGGTATGTTTTCTTTCCTAGATGAAATCTGTTGCACACTTGCCATGGAAGGCTTTCACTTACAAAGTAAGTAAAGCTCTAATTTAAAGATTGGTGCAGTCATTTTGGAAATAACCTTCTGCAAAAAACAGCTTAATAATATTTAGCTCAAGGCTGACAGTGCTTTTTTTTCTTTAAGAACTAAACTTGTTTGAAACTCTCCTTTTTAAAAAAAAAAAAAAGGAAAGAAACACCAATTTCCATTTTTCATAATGACTTCCACATATGGAGAATATTTGTATCCTAGTTTTGATGGTAATACTGGTTTTTATATTGTTAGCCATCTTGTGTGGGTGCAAGTGTTGGTCTTGCCTATAAATTAATCAGTCTCAATTTAATGCATTATTTCAGGGGGAGAAAGATTATATTAGCAAAGGATAGTTCTTAAGGAACAGATAGGACCACCAGGAGACCTTATTTTGGCAGCTTCCAGGAGCTGCCAGAGACTGAAGTAATGTACACACTGTTCTGTGCTGGGGTGGTAATGGGGAGCTGCTGGGCAATGTAGTGATGGTTGTCAGATGGCAGAAGAGGGGTGGCTGCGTGTCCCCACTGCCTAGACTGCCCTTGTAGGAAATAATGCAGTGCAGTAGCAGAGCTGAACACCAGACCTTGGAGGAGAGGAAGATGAGTTTATTTCAAAACAAAATCACCTTACTAACCCTTTGATACCTGCAAACCCATAAGCACCCACTGTCCGTCCAAGTGGTTTGTAGAGTATTCAAGCACCAAGATGGATGTACCCAAGTATCGCAGTCAGGATTCTTTGTGTTGATATGGAGGACAAGGGATACCCACTGCTGAGTTCCTGTATCTCCTATGTTCTTCCTCAGTCAGCTAGTTTTGTTCTTGTACCCCTAAAAAGCTGACAGTGTTTTGGCTCCGTCTTTTTCTGCCTCTCTGAGTCATTAGGGTTTCTGTAATGGCCTTTGCTTCCCTCGTCAGTTGTGTCCTGAGAAACCCTGGCTGGATGTGTTGGGATCATCAAGACCTTGATGCCATCAGCATGTGCCCTTTTATTCTTCTGCTTCCACTCATAAATGCTCTCATTTATTTTTCCTTTGTGCTGATGTACTACAACTCTCCAGAACATCAGTGCTTCAAAAGAAACTGTTAAAAACTGCTCAAGACACAGTGTCCAATTCTGAACAGGTGATCTGGGACAAAAGAACTAAAATCTCAAAAATTTGAGGTGCCTTTCATAGCTTTTCCGTTTGAGCCTACAGCAGTAGACCAATCTTCTGCTGCCTTAATATTTTTAAGGAATCAGGGGCATCTAAGAAAACAGATTGAAATAAAGCTGCTAGTAGAATAGCAACTAAACAGTGTTTGATGCAGAAATACAGTAAAAAATAAAAAGAAAACCCCTGTGTAGTGTTTCTGACATGTACTAGGCAAATCAGCATGTTTCTTAATAGGGGGGAGTAAGAGGTATATTGGTGAAGTAACTTCACTTCAACCACAAAATACAGTAACTGAGCAGAGACATCAACAGTTAAAGAGACAACAGAGGGCGAGTATCCAAGCAAGTAACCTTTAAAGCAGTAGAATTCTCTTGCTGAATAGCCTTTTCTTACACAGCATTTATGGTTCCTGTTAAGATGCCAGAGGCTACACACAAGCCAGAAAGGCTTGTGTCTATGTAGAAAGAAGCATATGATGCTTTCAATTATGTTTAACTTCCTGGGCTTTGGAAGTGGTAATTTACTTTTTCCTGGCGGTTATCTAAAGTTCTTTGCTCTCTTCTGCACTTTAAAGAGTGAAAAGAACAGTCTGAGGTCTTATCTGTGACTGCTGGTTTAGGAAGCTTTTGAGTTTTTTCCTTAATTTGAACTCTCCTGTTTTGGAAGACCTTGGCAAAAACAAAGATTAACTTTACAGTTTCTGCAGTCTTTACATTTATGCCCTTTATAGTTTTCTAAGAAGTACCTTCAAATGAGGTAATCTCAGCAGAAAACTAGCTAGTAGAATGCTATTAGATGGGCTACCTTGATGCATTCAGTTTCAGTGGCTTATGAGGACTGCCTGCATGCCTGAAGGATGGAGCTTTTTCTTCCTTTCATCCCTGTAGAATCACACACTTGGGTGTTGACTTGGAAAGGCTGCCTTTTCGAACTTGCCAAGGCTTTTTTTTGTTGGTATTGTTCCATGACAAATCTTCTTTGCACAGGCTTGAGAAGTGCTGTCCATGTACTTTGATCACTTTGGATTGATGGATTTGTTTTGACTTGCTGGAAAGAGTTTTCCTGTTGTAATTAATCAGAACTCTATCCTGCCCAACACCCCCAATTTGTTTCATTATATAAACATTGGTTCATTTTGAAGAGCGAATCCTTCTTTGCTTAAAGAATGCATAATTTTCCCCCTTATGGTATGGATTAATGTACAACTGGCTAATATTGAAAGGAGAAGCCATGATACTGACTCGGTTTCTTCACTCAACAGTGAATATTCTTTGCTGGATCTGTTTCCTGCTGTCTTTAGTGAGCAGAAACGGTTTATTGCACCACATGAGTACTAGAGCTGGTGCACTGTAAGAGTTGATTTATAGTCTTCCCTTTAGGCTAGAGCCAGATCAAGAGGAGCTGCCCTTTTGTTTATTTTCTTTACCTTCTCTGACAAAATATTGTTGCCTTTGCATGCTTGCAGCCTGTGTGCATTGCTTTCCCAGCAGATGTCTGGGAATTTAAACTTTCTCGCTTAGGAAAAAGTAGTGAGGAAATACTTTATTATTGCTTCAGAAACAGAACCTATAGTAGGCCTAGTTGAGTGGTGTAGAAAATTATGTTTCAAATAAGGAATGGTTGTTTTTTACTTGTAACTGTCATAGTATGGTCTGTAGTAGACAGTATGGTCTTCATTTTAAAAAGGCACTTTAAAGTTTGCATTAATTAGTTTTTCAGCATAACCCTTGGGTATTGTTATAAATATGGAAGTAGTCTGTGTTCCTACTCAAAAATACAGTTCTAGGAAGCCTGTTTCCTGCAGTTCTGTATGACAGATGACTTCCTTTCTTCACAGCCAACTGAAGTATACTTTTTGTTTATTTTTAGGCATTCAACACCTTTATTGATGATATATTTGCTTTTATCATCACTATGCCAACATCTCACAGGCTGGCGTGCTTTAGAGATGATGTGGTGTTCCTGGTCTATCTTTACCAAAGATGGTATGCCTTTCTTTAATACTTGTCAAAGTTTTTACAGTGCTGTAGGTGGTTGCACTCTTATTGCTATAAAGAACTATAAAATTGTTTGGGGTAGGCTTCAAAAAGAACTTTTGTACCATAGTAATATATAGTATGGTCTGGATAATGGTAGTTGTGTATATGCCTAGTGAAGGGAATGATGAGTAGGAGATCCTGAAAAGGAGATCTCAATACAAATGGGGAGCAAAGGTGCTTTCTCATAACTGACAGTAATCCTGGACCCTTCTTAGCATGCTAAGAGAGTAAACAAGAAATTCCTCTTCTCTCAGCACTCACAGTTTTTGTCAGTTACCTCTTGTCCCTTCCCCAAACAACACTCATCCCTTTCAGCAGATAGTTTTGAATTTGAAAGTTACCAAAAAAATTAACTTGAGACCTGAACTAAGGTGAAGGAGAGCAATTCTTAAGCTTGTATTCACAAACCCATTTAGGAATTCTGGGCTTCTAACCCTTGCTGAGGGGCTATGTGTCTACATACGCTCAGGATCTGAGGCATGCTTCCCACGTTGCTCTACAAGGCACTAGTGAAGGATGTTTTCTGATGAGGAAAAAGCCCTGCTCTGCTTTCCTCTTTATCTAGTTTCCAAACACAAGTTAGCAGATTCTCTTGTAAGTCGAGTATCTGGTGAGTTTCAGATTCTCTAACTAACTAAAATCAGATGGGGAAGAAGGCTATATGCAGTAATTATTGAAATATTGTTTGTAAGTGAAGCTATAGAAAGCATATTCTTGTTCCTAAGAATAAATATTTACATGTGGAGCAAAAAAGAATTTTAGGACAAGTTCTCATTATACCACACTATATGGATGTGTCCATCTAATTAACCATTAATACTAAATGTGGACTTCAGGTTTGGATCCCTATGATCACACATAAGTGAGTAAAATAGGCCCCCTTCCAAGGTATTTTTCTAGAAGTTAAGAGCTCAACAACTTCTCAGCCAGTGGCTGGGTGCTGGTTTTAAGTTTGAGAGGTATCCTGGTCTGCTTGAGAATTACTCCAGCCAAGATTTAGAGGAGCTCATGCATCTCTTAAAAGGCACTGGTATGAGACAACTGGTTAACTCTTAATGTGAAGAAGCTGATGTGTCTGTAGCTAATTTTTAATACTGTTGGGGATTTTGCCACAAACAGGAATAGACGCTACGATGAGAAAGAAATTCACTTTCAAAATTAAGTGGCACAGAACTGCTTAATTCCTTCAGGTATCAGACAGTATTGTAACTACTCATTTGTTTTTTCTGTCAGGCTTTATCCTGTGGATAAGAGCAGAGTGAATGAGTATGGAGAATCTTATGAAGAAAAGCCAAAAAAAAAAGCTCATAGAGAATAACTAAGAATTGAAGAAGATTCTGACCCCTGGACTCTTACTGGCTTCATGTATTATCTGGTCTTAAGGAAGGAAAAACTTATTTAATAAGAGTATTTTTAAAGCTTATGACAGAACTACATGGACGATACATCTTCTATATTGCCAAAATCTAGTTTTGATATCCTCCTGTTTCAGGATCCTCTTTTGTCCTCACAAGGTCCACAGTCTGCTGGATGTTATTTAATAAACTTCCTGCATTTAAACTTCTCTTTGGTTAAAGCCTGAGTGTCCTGACCATTGTAATTAATACCCAAATCTATGTTTTTGAGACAACTCACGAACTCAAAGTGTGGTGCCCATGCCAGTAGGCTATGAAAGAGAAAAAAGCCAGTGTGTTGCAGCAGAATCGAGCACTGTTGCCAGACTGGAGGCTCCCAAACATAAAATGTATAATATTGGACTACATGATAATTACAAATCATTCTCATTTTGTTAACGGAAATAACTGGAATTCTAGAAATCATTATTAAAGTTGTATGTGGGCATTTGCCTTCATAGCTTAAAAAAAATGTTGGAAATACAGGATGAGACAGACAGTTGTTAAAATTCAAATTTTGCCACGTTCTTAGCCCACAGTATGGCAGAAGGCTTCAGTTGTCTTAAATTGAATGAAGATGTGGAAAAAAAACCAAACCAATCTGTAACATGATTTCTTTCGGTATGTATCCAAGTTTACGAGGTTGACAGACCTTCTGATTTCTTGGCACAGCAGGTATTCATATAATGCAAATCATTCTTATGTGCTAGGAAAGTCTCTTAGTGCATCTCAAATTCTTCATCGTGTGGTGAGCCAGTGACCTACTAGGCCAATTCTCTCATGTTTCAAAGGGTCTTTCCCTGCCCCATTCTATTTATAAGATGAAACACACATCATTCAAGTAAAATAATTGTTAAATACAATACAGGTTCAACAACCTACCTTGGATACAGAAGAAAAAAACAGCCTGGTGAAGAATAAGGATCTTCCTTTCACACAATTGAAATCCGTATTCCATGGCACAGTTCATTAAGGGGGGTATTTTGATTGTTCTTTCCAATCAGTGGAAATAATCAGGTTGAATTATCACAGCAACATTCAAACTACACAGCTGTATCTAGAAACTATGGTTCTAGATTGTGAAAGTCCAGTTTGTTAGTGAAACAGAATGCATTCCTTTCAGTAGCAAATAAAATGTAAATAAAAAAATTCTGAAAGGCAGAATTCTAGTTTCCAGTTCCAGTTTTGATTTGGTCTGTAAGTTTATAAATTAACCCAAATGATACCGAAGTTTCTGTATTGAATTGCATGCTGTTTGTGCAAGGCTATGTAACTCTGATTTGTCATTGACTGAAAATATTAATTGAATAACCTTGCAGAGCACAGATCTGCTCCTATAGTCTGCAGCTACTTTATGAAGTCTATTGTTTTCGGTTCTGATACTGAAGAAGTCTGAACATATAAATACTTGGGTCCCCAAAAGATACAGACATGTGCTAACTTCTCACACACTACAGTCTTTCTTGTACTGCTTACATGCTGCTGGCAAGGGAAAGGAGTCTTGAAGTGGATGTTTAAGTCATGTTTGTGTTAAGGTCTCTTTCACTGTCGACTGTAACTAAGGAGGACTGTTGATTTTAGCATTAAACGTACATAAATAAGTCTATGCAAAACTGGGGTTGTATTTGCTGTGTCTTGTACCTGGTTTGGTTGAAAGGAGCTCGCTCTTGGCTGTTATGCAAACTAATTTGGTACTCCCATTTCATAATAATAGTTAATTGTGTGTGAAAATTTTTCCTGATATAAATAATGCACATAGTACATCCCCTTTTTCATTTCAAAACAACCAAGTCACTGGTTCTTCTAGAACAGCTTCTGCAAGTGCAGAATAACATACTGAGGTATTTTTGATGGTTCTCATTTCTGTGTGTAGGTGTTGAAAAAATCATTCTTGCACTTTACATACTGTGAGTTTACTGCTCTTCTGTCTTGCATCTCTGATGACAATGACCTCAGAATACCCTAACAGTAGTCATAAAGAATACAAAATTAGAACATTCCAAGTCTTTAAAATAAGCAAGACTTTCCAGTTCAAGCCATTGTTTTCTGAGTTCCATTTCCAAATAAAAGATTGGGCAGTCAGGGTAAAGAGTTACCTTTTAGTATTGGAAAAGAAGGTTGTGAAAAACTATGTAAGTAGAGTACCTTTGGTGACATTAAATGTTTTAGTTTTCTAGTTGTGGAAATGACATCAGCTTAAATATGTGGTTCTGTGTGCAGTTAATGTAGAAGAAAAACTCCTTATCTACAAAAGTTCATTGAAGGTATTGCAGGTCATGCTGCATTATCAGTATCTGTGATCTATTTAAAAGTTCCTTACTTGTGATAGGACTAATTTTGGTAAGCCAGCTGGGTGACCACCTCACATTCTTATCTTCATTAGGCTTGGGAAGTCTTTGGAAGTTAAGATTACAGTGGGCTGGGGTGGGCTGTTTTAGAGTTAACTGGGAAAATGTTCATCTGCTTCTGGAAGATACTCTTGCACAGTACTTACTTCTCTGTAGTAACAGCAAAAGATACTGAGGTGTCTCCAGAAGGGCAACGAAGCTGGTGAAGGGTCTGGAGCACAAATCTTGTGAGAAGCAAATGAGGGAAGTGGGGTTGTTTTACCTGGAGAAAAGGAGGCTCAGGGAGACTTACGACTCTCTACAACTACCTGAAAGGAGGTTGTAGCAAGGTGGGTGTTGGTCTCTTCTCCCATGTGGCAAGTGACAGGACAAGGGGAAATGGCTTCAAGATGTGTTTCAAGTGAAACAGGATAATCTATTTGTAATGCTAGTCCTTAGCATACAGCTTACAGCTCTATCATAAGATACTGGGAAGGGACCTCAGGAGGCTTTCCAGTACCAGCACAGCATCTTCCCCCTGTTATAGACTAATTGGGCTTTTCTGATAGTCCTGTGTAAAACCCTCTGAGTGAATAAATCTAGCTGTAGGAGTTGAGAAGAAAAGCCAGAACAGAAAGGAATAAGCAGTGTTTCATCTGGTGAAACCACCAAACCCTTCATCATCAACTTGCTCAAGAAAGCATCACTCAGCCTCACACTCTCTGCCATCCCAGGAGTTGTTTCAAAGATCCACAGGAGAAAGGAAAAAAATACAATACTGAACCAGGAATTGGTGTTTCAGGCTAACTCTGATTTCATAAACTTGGGGAATGCTCCAGCATTATCCCCAGGTAAGGACACTCTGATCAACACCACCTTTTCACTGCCAGCAAGTTCCCCACCCCTTCAGTACCAGAAGAGCATTGTTTTTTTATTAACTTTTTGCTACTGCAGACTCTGCAACCACATAGTAAAAAAAAAAAATAACCCAGTAATATGTAAAGTACTAAGTAAATAAAAATTTTCAGGAGCCAACTATGCACACAGTTTCTGCTGTGTTTCCCATGTAACAAGGTCACAGATGCCACACTTATGCAGACTGAATTTAGATGCCAACTGGTGGATGATGAGGGCATCTTCAGCACTAAAGTAGGAGTCAAACTCTGAGAGCAATGGGGCAGACTACGCCTGGGCTACAAAGAAATCTGTGCCAGAGAAAATGAGTTTGTGTGGAGGTCTCAAAACAGGGGTCTCATCTGCACGAACAGAGGCATGTTAACACATAGGAATTCATCAAGGACCGAACCCATGGTGACGTAGTTTAACCCCACGCAGCTGCTCATTTGCTTCACCTCCTCAGTGGGGGGGGAGGAGAATCAGAAGGGTAAAAGTGAGAAAGAAACTTAAGAGTTGAGATAAAGACAGTTTAACAATTAAAAGGAAATAATAATTTCAAAGAAATAATAATTAAAAAAATAAAATTCTGAGGGGCAAAAAACCAAACCAAAACAAAAAAGATAGGTAAATAAAACCCAAAAAAGGCAAGTGATGCAAATTAAAACAATTGCTCGCCACCGAGCCAGCCAGTCCCCAAGCAGTGCCACCCCCTTCAACCTTCCCCCCCCAACATGCCCCTCCAGTTTTACTGCTGGGTATGACACCATATGGTCTGGGATATCCCTTGGATCAGTTGGGGTCAGCTGTCCCGGCTGTCTCCCCTCCCAACTCCTTGTGCAGCCCCAGCCTACTCACTAGTGGGGCAGTCTGAGCAGCTGAGAAGGCCTTGAGGCTGTGTAAGCACTGCTTAGCACTAACAAAGGCATTACTGTTGCTCTTACTTCAGACAGATCTTCCATGGAGTGCTGATCCTAAAGGGGTTCCTTGGAAGAGAATCTTCCTGGTTTCTTGCAGAGGAAATCTACCTTAATAAAGTAGTAATGCTCACTTTAAAACTGTCTCAACACCTTCAAAACTTTCTTCAATGTTTTTCTTGACTACAGCTCACACTACCCTGAGCATCCTGAAAATACACAGCACAAATTATCCACTGAAAAGATGCTACAAAGCTGACTGAAAATAAAATCCTAAATCACACTATCATTTGGGTTGGAAGGGACCTTAAAGATCATCCAGCTCCAACCTCCCTGCCATGGGCAGGGACACCTTCCTCCCCTAGACCAGGCTGTTCAAAGCGCCCTCCACCCCGGCCCTGAACCCTGCAGGGGATGGGGCAGCCACAGCTCCCTTGGGCAGCCTGCGCCAGTGCTCATGACACTCATAGTGAACTTCTTCCTAATATTTAACCTAAATCTACCCTCTATCACTTTAAAGCCATTCCCCCTTGTCCTATCACTACACACCCTTGTAAAAAGTCCCTCTCATATATGAAGTCCCTCTCAACACAAGGATTGCTTGTAGGGCCCCTTTGGTTACTGGAAGGCTTATAAAGGTCTCCCTGGAACCTTCTTAATGCTGAACAACCCAACTCTCTCAGCTTGTCTCCATAGGAGA